AACTCCGTATTAGAGCAATGAGAGTCATCTTTTCGGCTGATGAATTTATAATCAATAATTAAGATCATAAGGTAAGAGAGACTGGGTGGGATTCTGTTTCAAAACAGACAAAATCACCGGGCATGAGACTAGAATTGACAAACTTGGGCTCCATTCCCTATGTGATAGCAGAGACTCCATTTAAATAAGCCTAATGGGGAATCTCAAGTCATGTCAAATAGGTCATCATCACAGAATCTCAGCTAGGAAGAGATGTCAGTGGCCAATGAGCCCAACCCCTACCCCCCAAAAGAGTTCCCCAGATCTCCAACTTCCCTGCCAAGTGACCTCCAGGGAGGGGCAGCACCATGGCCCCAGGCAGTGCAGGCCCCTTGTGGCCAGAACTCGCTGATAAGAAGGTCTGCCTGCTATGCAGCCTAAGCTGGCCTCTTCCAGCTTCTGCTGAGAGCTGGTCCTGATTCTGCCCTTTGGGGCCAAGCACAAGCCTAGACCCTCTTTCAGGTGATCCATCTTCAAATCTGAAGTCTTAAAGTCTCTAAGTCTTCTCTTCTCCAGACTAAGCATCCCAGGTTCCTTTAGCTGATCCCAGACATAACCCCTGACATCCATCGATTCAAAGCCAAACTCAGTCAAGGTGATAAACCCAGTGCATGAGGAGACAGTCAAGAAAGGAACAAACCTGGGCTCTTCCTTACTGGGCCCTCTCTTTATCAAGGATGCTCCCCGTACATAGAACATCTGTGGTGCTCCAGAAAGTAGTGGGGCTAAACAGGGCTGGCCAGGAGCCTTGGGGACTGTACCCAAGGCTAGAATTAAACTCCTTTGGGGGTAAACTAGGCAAAGTGTTAAGCTCAGGGGGGATCACTTATTTGTTTACAAGTCACTCCGAGGGCCCTGAGGAGAGGACATTCAAAAAACGCAATATTCTAGTGGGAAGAACGGGACAAAGTATTCTCGATCACCTTCTCTTCTAGATAGCCATGACAAAAAAGAGCTCACTAAGTAGCCACAATACTGAAGACAAACAGAGATATGTTACTTCATTGCACCAAAAAGAGCAATTTGGATTACTTTATCTGGGAACAATGGAACTGAACTTAGCCGGTTCATTGAGCCAGGGGCCTGTCCTAAGGCCTGCTGGGAGTGAGGCCAAGCCAGGAAGCTTCTCCCTCCTGGTCACCCAGGCTCAGTCCATCAAGATGTTTTGTTGATTTACCAACAGGGAGACAGAGAGGCTCCATGACACCTCTGTGCCATCTGCCCTCGGAAGGCCCGTGGTCTCTGTATTCTGGGGCTGAACTGATCAATTCTAGGCACTCACTTCCTTGAGCACAGAGTGCTCTCCAGTCACCAGATTTTTCAGAGAGCTGGCTGCAAACAAGAGGCTGGGATGGGATTTCTTCCCATGGTGCTTGCAACCTAAAGCACTTTGGCCCCGCAGGTGGCCGGAGTATGTCAGCCATTAGCCTTGGGGATCTCGTCCAACCTTTTTGCTAGGATAGGAAACCATAAAGACCAAGCCTGACAGGAAGCACTGAGTGCAGGGGCTTCCCAGGAAAATGGCCTCCAGCTCCAACACTCAGTTCTTCAGAACTCTGGCTCGTTTTAACATCTCATTCCTGCTCAAGGAAAAAATAAACGGATATACCAAATGACCATTCCCCCGGGATACCCCATCAGTTCACTGTCCAAATATGTGCAGAGGCCAGAGGCTAACATGCAATGAAAGAAATCAGGGCTAAGACCGACCTGTTCCATCTGCCTCCCACTGTGCCAGTCACGGCACTGTGCCCATGTGGCCAAACCTGAGAGAGAAGAAGCAGCTCCAGAGGGGTTGCTGACAATTGGGTTGGGACCATGGCAGGCCTGGAAAGCCCACAATCAGCCCGGGGTCTCCTCTGTACCCCATTTCCTGACATAGCCCAGCAACTGCAGGGTCCTTTGGGGGTCCCAGGGGCTGGGTTGGAACACTCTTTATTTAACTTGCATACAAGTTGTAGGCTCTGAACCTAGGAATCAGGGCATGCACCATAAAGGCAGAGACTATTTCTTTTCTGTCTTGGTAACTCTAGCACCTAACACAGGGCTTGAAACATAGGAAGCACTTACATTTTATTTCTTAAATTCAATTGAATTAGAGCTTCTGGGGGCTTTCACTGGCACAATCAGGACTCCACAGGGGCCTTGCCATATATACCTGCTCTCCCAGGTACCCTCCAGGTCCTCAGGCTGAGCCTGGGTCCAGAATAGACCCCTCCTGAGGTGGCAACAGGACAGAGCAGGGTGGGGCTTCACGAGGCTGCTTGTTGATGCTCTGAGGGGCCACTTTGTAATTGCCCCACTTGTAGTGAGTGGGCAAGGGAGCCTGTGGGACAAGTTCAGAACTGTATTGGAATTCACAGGTCTAAGGCATCAGACACATGCCATGGAGAGTCTCTGCAGGAGCCCAGTGTCTGAAACAGACGTCAGGTTCAAGGGGTCTGCGCCACGCTGTGGACCACCTTTGGGTGAGAAGTCCCAGCTTCCCAACCCTGGGCCTCTGCTGCAATTGGGCAACAATAAAGGAAGGTGCCATTGGATCAGAACAGCTTCTATACAGCTTGGGCGAGTACCACCAGATCATTTTAAATAAATCTCTTTAGAGGCAGCTTGGTGGCACCACAACAGATACAGGGTTGTGCCTAGAATCAGAATATCCTGAGTTCAAATACAGCCTCAGACACTAACTAGCTGTGTGACCCTGAGCAAGTCACTTAACCTCTATTTGCCTCAGTTTCCTCAACTGTAAAATGGGGATAATAACAGCACCTGCCTCCCAGGGTTGTTTTGAGGATCAAATGAGATACTATTTGTAAAGCATTTGGTGCAGTATCTGGCATACAGTAGGTGCTTAATAACTGCTTATCCTCTTCCTTCACCTTCTCCCTTATGAGCTGAGCCACACTGGTAGACCAGGTGCAACTTGTCAGATCCACCCTCTCAGAGACACCTTCTGCAATGTCTGCCACAGGATTGTTCTCTAGGGCCAGAAATAGCAGTGTTTGTGCCCAGGCAAGGACAAAACATACCCAAGGCAAACAATGGGAGTCATGACCTCAAATGTTTAAAGACAAATTCAACTCAGGGAGTAAGGAGGCAGAGCCCTGGGACACAAGGTCTCAATGTGGAGGGGGGGGGGCAGGGAGCCTGGATAGAGCGAACAGGATTGAGAGGGCCAAGGAAGAATTCACCCAAGAATGGTCGGGGGTGGGGGGTGGATGGAGAAGACCATCTGCCTCCTCCTTTAAGTAGTCATTCTTGCTAAGCACAAGTGTTCTCTGAATGTCAGTGCCCTGGTGAAATGCCCTTTATCACCCCACCCTACTTATGGTTCTGTTGTCCCAGCTGGGCAATAAGTAGGTACCGATAAAGAATAGGTCCATTCTTGGCCTCATTCCACTATAGAACACATTTTATCAAAAAAAAAAAAAACAAAAACAAAACACAACCCTTTTTGATATTAGTGAAAATCATTTTTCTAAGACACATAACTTGCAAATGATAGAGATCCAACTGAATCCTATGACATACTCTGAGAATGAAATTGGCCCTACTCCAGGTCTAGAGTTATAGAAATGTTTCATTTTTCCCCCTCTTTAGCCATGGTAAGGTTCAGTGGAAAGTGCCTTCTCAATTCAATTTGATTCAGCCACTGACCAATTAAGAAAGTTGGCAGAACCTAACGGGGAGGTGACCTCTCTACTGATTTCTTTCCCAAGGCGGGGGGGAGGAGAAGCTCTTTTTTAGTTTTGTTTGGGGGAGGTTGTTAAAGACTTTGCAAGAGAATCTATGATAACTCATTTTCCCCTGCTTTGGAAAGAAAACCTTTTGCTATAGAGATGAACACCCTTTATTTTCTCCCTTTGGCTTCATTTATGAAATCAAAACAAAAGCTTTAACTGATGTTTCCAGGGAAACAAAAAGAGTTGAAGCCCAGCCCATAATAGCCATATTCTGTCCCATCCTCCTCTAGTCCTTCAGCAGCCCGGCTTATCTCAAGAGATCTCTGTGCTTCCTGAGGCTCTGCTGAAGCCCAACCTCTGAATTGAGAAGGAAAGGCTATTTGCCGAGTATATTTGCATCAGTAAGATGTTTAAAAAGTGACATTTGCCCTCAAGTTCATCTGAGCTCCGAGGCGTGGCCTGGCTTGCCTTGTGGCCCTTGACAGAGTTCATAAAAAATCCTTGCTGAAGGATTGTGGCCCAGTTTCTAAAAACTGTCATGTTCCCCTGTTAGGATTATAATCCTCCATTGTCATCCATGTGGAGGCCATGGTCTTTGAAAGATCTTTCCAGTAGTGAGGATGGTTTTCATGGAACTATCCCCACTTTCATTCTGTGTCTATCCCCTGTCCTCCCGGATCCCTATCTGCATTTGCGAGAACGCTGAAGCCATATTTCTCCCCATGTGAAACCTCGTTAGCTCTGTATGGGGAGAGAGCCCCCATCTTTAGTTTCATTAACTCCATACTCTCGTCAGCTCAACTAATCAGCTAAATTCACATAGGAAACCTTGAATCCAAAGGGAAAGAGGGCCGTCACCCTGTGACAAAAGAGGCTTGGTGCCTCACACGGTTAGAAAATGGGAGACATGCAGTCGATGTGCTCAGCTTTTTAAAGAGTAGAACCAAGGGACAGCTAGGTAGCGCAGTAGATAGAGCACCGGCCCTGGATTCAGGAGGACCTGGGTTCAAATCCAGCCTCAGACACATAACACTTACTAGCTGTGTGACCCGGGGCAAGTCACTTAACCCCATTGCCTAGCCAAAAAAAAAAAAGAATAAAACCAGCTCCATTCCTTGTGCCTACCACCCACCTACAAGGAGACTGGTTCTTCATCAGGATCCCACAATCCTTCTCCATGCCTCCCTAGTGACCCCAGGGGGACCTTTCTGATCCCTATGCTGCCCCCTCCACTCCCTAGAGCACCAGATGTGGGGTTTGGGCTCCCTCAGCACTTACCATGGTCAGGCAGCTGAGCTCCCATGGAGGCGCCACTGGAATGCAGGACATCATTGACGGCCGTGTCGCAGTACAGGCCCCGCTGGATGTCATGCTCGCTATCAGTCTGGTCGCTCTCCTCATGTCCGCTGTCCTTCAGGCTATTCCCCTCCAAGTCCTTGAATGTGGAGCTGCTGGGTTGGAGAAAGAACAGTCATTTACTGTCATGGCAGGGCTGAGCAGGCAGGTCTCCTGTAACTGGGGATGATGTCATAGCCCTGAGGCCAGGCCAGCCCTTGGAATCTCTTTAATAGCTCCAACTCCGAATTGCCTTGGCTACCCCGCCATGGCAAACTTGCCCTTTCATTCATTCATCTTCAAATGCACTCCTATAGGCAACTAGAATTCCCTACGAATTGGAAACAATCACCACAAAGAGGGAGAATTACAGCAGGATTTGTTTCATCCTCATACAAACAAAGGATTGCTGCTGGTCTTCCAGAAAAAAAGGAAAGGGGATAGAAATTGGAAACCAAGGGAAAGGAGGCGCAGGGACTTCGGGTCAGCTTTGTAACTGAACAAAAAAAAAAAAAAAAGAAAACGAGAGGAAGGATAGAGAAGCCTGGTATGTGAAAGGTAGGGGAGATACCAGGGACAACAGAACTCTGGCTGGAAGTCCAGGGTCTCCCATCATGCCTGGAGTATCTATTTGGGTCAAGACCTGAGATTTTATTGCAATGGGGAACTCCCTGGCATGGATACCCACTCCATTGAAGCAGGTGAGCAACACCTCTATAACTTTTAAGCTTAGCGAGTGGTTCAGGGCGCTGTAAGGGTAGGTGACCTGCCCAGGGTCCCACAGCCAGCATATGTCAGAGGCAGGATTTGAACCCAGGGCTTCCTGACTGTATCTCTGCACACTGCTTAATAGACACTCGTTGAATTGAACTAAGTTCAGTTCAGAGAGAATTTGAGGCAAATGTCTCTTGGCTTATGTGAACCCAACCAGACAGAAAAGGTGCCAAAGCAGCCCCTGCCAAGAAGTGGCCCTTGCCGCCATCCCTGCTGCCACCATGCTTTAAGAAAAAGCATAGGGTACATCCAAGGAGGCCCATCTGCCATGCTGCTGTGGCTGCCAGCTAGCTGTGCTGTACCATAGGCCATCAGTTACACATCTGAAGTACCTCATGGGTAGCAGAATCCATCTCCCAGTACTGACCGGGAGTCGAGGGGAGCTGAGGCGCATGGGGGAATTCCAGTGAGCTCCACTAGACTATGGAAAAGGGACCTCCTATGGAGAGGACACTGTAATTCCACTTGATTGTCTCAGCCTGGAACCCTACCTGGCCTGGCTCCTAAGAGGCTCGGGTTGGTGGCATTCAGTCAGCGGCCTGGAAAGCATTACTGTTGACACAATGGAGCAACGGTCACCCTCTCCCCAGGATCAAAAGGAATCCTATTCAATCTAAGAATGGGGCAATGTAGCATAGAACTGGAAACAAAGCAGGTGCTTATGGAGCGAAGAATGGCTATACAGGTTGTGGGGCATGAAAGTCATGGACAATCACTGTGCCACAAAAACCAGTGAACCTGGAGAATGCAGAGAAGCACTCAGAGACTTACACGAATGGATGAAGAGTGAAGGAAGCTGAACCAGGAACACCGGTGCACAGCAACTACATTAACGGAAATGGAAAGGACGACAACAAACTGAAAGTTGTCGAATTATAATGACCAAGGTTGGCCTCTCTCCCTTCTTTGCCGAGTTGGAGGCTCTTTCCTGGCCTAGTGGAATATTTCATGGAACTTATCAATCAATAAGAGGCAGCTGGGTGGCTCGGTAGATAGAGAGCTGGGCCTGCAGTCAGGATGACTTGGGTTCAAATCCAGCCTCAAACACTTACTAGATGTGTGACCCTGGACAAGTCACTTCACTTTGCCAAGGAAACCCCATGGACAGGGTAGAAGCATCTGGCATGATACAATACTGGGTATTGGAGATTGGAGCTCAAACGGACCTCAGAAGCCATCTATTCCAGCCTCCTCATTTGACAGCTAAGGAAACTGAGGCCCAGAGAAGGAAAGTGCCTAGATTGGAACCCAGCACTCTCTCTACGCCTGTACCACGCTGTCTCCTGCCAGAAGGCTGCTAACCACAGATTCCAGAATTACAAGGAGAGACAGTCTGATTAAGCAAAGATCAGGAAATCCAGGGGTGGGAGTCCTTGAGATGAATGTCTGTGTGTGTTCCCCTATGCAAAAAGCAGGGAGTGGCGGTCACACCAGTTAACGTGCTGAGAACTCTGCTTGCCAGTCTGCCAGAATAAGACCCACTTGCCCTCATGCTGGGGGGGGCTTAATGAATGGAGCTGTGTAAGGTTTTGTAAGACCTAGAAGGAAAGATGCTGCAAATTATAGAGCAGCCTGGCAAATACCCTGAGCAAATAACAATTTATGTCCAGCATAAAAATTGCTGATTTCATTTTCTTTATTGCCTGTGTATCTCCTGGGGGAAGAAAGCCTTGAAAACCCATTAGTCAGATCTTAGCACTGATTCAGCCTTAAGCTAGAGGGAATCCTGTTCGACATATAAGGGTCCCAAAGGGGAAGGGCCAAGTCTTTCTAGGTGATTGAGTCTCTCTTATATATACATATGCATATACATATATATATATATATATAGTGTGTGTATGTGCACATGTGCGTACGCATATATGTATATGTATATGTGTGTATGTATATATATGTGTGTATATATGCACACATGCGTGCTTAATGAATATGTCTCAGAAATGACAGTGAGATGTTCTAGATGTTATTTGTAGGTGACAAACAGCTAATTGCATCAAGCCCCAGAAGACCATTAGAGCCTCCTAAATGAGATCCGTGATCACTCAAAAGAGTTTGGCCTAACCATCCATACAAGAGAATTCAAGTGGATGAAGAATGCCTATTGTCCAGATCATGATGTATATTTGGATGGACAGGCCATAGAGTAAGTCCACTAGTACATAGATCTTGGGCAGCAACTGAAAATGAGCAATGTGCTGGGCCCAGGTCTGAACAGGAGAAGGAAAGCAGGCTGGGTGGTCTTTGGAAAATTGCGTAATGCTTTAAGTGACCCCCAAGCTTCTTCCAAACCCATCTCTTTAGCATCAATATTCTTCTAGCAATGCTACATTGGCTGCGAGTCATAGAATCCCACAGTCTCTGAGGATCAATGGAGACGTTAATGGTGGGTATGAACATCAGCAGCACAAGATAAGAGAATTCAAGAGAAGAGACGTGATGTCAAGAGACAGATGGCTGTCAAGAGACAACAGCCTGGGTGCTCCACTGGTTCTAGGCAATATCTAGAGACACGCATATGGGGCGGCCCCCCTGGGGAGGCTTCCTGGGGGATATGTCTCAGAGTCCTGCAGGATGGGGTAGAGAGGTTACAGGGGCTTGCAATTCACCCTCTGGAGAGATGAGGAGGTCAGATTGTTATGATTTCCAAGTTATCTTCAAATGTTAACATTCCAGAATCTGTGTAACTGGGTGGTAATACCTTTTTAATAAAAGATCTCTGAGAGCTGGGCTAGGCCCCCCCCCCCCCACACACACACACTCACTCACTCACTAGCCGCAGGATCGCAGGATCTTGGGCAAATCATTTAACCTTGCCAAGTTTCAGTTTTCTCATCTGGAAACTGGAGGTATTAACTTTCATCTCCTACCTTGAAGGGTTATTGTGGGGCCCATCTGAAATCTGTGGCTAGGAGGTGCTTGGGAATCCTAGATTTTTAGAGGGATTGAAGCAGCTTGGGCCATGAGCCCCCAGTCCCTGGCTCAAGAAGCCCCCACTAATTCACTGCCTTGTTCATTTCCACCTGGTTAATTTCCATCCAGCTGCAGCTCTGAGCCCTGCCTGCTACCCCTCCCCAATCAAGGCCCAGCAGGAGAGAATGGAGGACTTTCACAACAGGTGTAAAGTGCTGTTAGTGGGCTTAATCACTCAGAGGAGCAGGAAGAAAATCAAAGTCACATGTGGACCCTCTGAGATGCTTTTCCTGGAGGGCTCTTGGTGGCCCCGGGATGTCACATAGAGCTTTAATAAGGTTACACTGCCATTATTTCATTTGGTCCCTGCAACAGCCCTTGGAGGCAGGCAGTGACAGCATTAGGAGCTCCAGGTTCCAGATGAGGAAACTGAGGCTCACCAAGGTGCAGTTATTTGTTCCAGGGCCCAGGGCTAGCCCGTGTGAGGGTGGGGGACTCCACCCTAGTTGGCTCAGGCATCGAATGAACAGCTCCGACTCCAGAGTCCTGGCCAGCTCCCTGAGGAAGGTCCAGTTGTGCTAGAGAAAGACAGCTGCCACAGGTCATGGGCTCGAGGTCACTGACTGAGAAGATGACCAGCTGCTAGTGAATGTCAACTGCTGAGGCTCAGGAAGTAGTGGCCAGGACTCATACCCCCAGGGCTGGAAAGCAAGAAGAGCCGGGAGACCCATCCTCAAAGTTGTCCAGATTTTTATTTTAATGCAAAATAAACGGAGCTTGAAATGTTTAGATGAAGATCCAGTGATGGGGTTCAGACTTGCCTCAGAAGGGAACATTTCCCAAGCACGGACATGGGTCTGCAGGAAGCCACATGCTGTGCATTGTTTGATCGTGTTTAGCTTGTTTTTTTTTTTTTTTATTCAGCGTTAGCCCCTACTCTCCTACATCTTCCACACATTTAGTGTTTGAAATGCAATGTTAAGGCCCCTGAAAGCTATCACAGACAGGTTTCCCTGGAACTTTGCTGCCAAAATGCTTTGTCCCCAATCATTCAGTCCCGAGAAGACCCAGGGCTTCAAAGCCCCAAAGAAGGACATGAACCAGATTCATTATGTTATAAAACCTTCTGGTACCTCCACAGTAACCAAGTGGACCACCTGCCATCTTCAGCGCTGCTATCCCACAAATGGGAAGCTAAAAAAATGCAGGCTTCTCCAACCTCTCAAATGTTTCCTTTTCAATTAAAGTGGCCGCTAGGAAAATGCTGCTACCTTGGATTTCAGGCAGAATCAGGAGAGACTGTCCATTGTCACAGTCACATTTTGGGTGAAAACCAAGCCAAAACAAGACCCTTTATCAAGTTCACTGGGTCTGGAACTGGGGACCAGGTCACCTCTTCCCTGCACGCCCTTAGGACAGTTCCTTAACCACT